AAAACGTAATATATCCGAACGTATTGTCACACAACATCTCTGTTTATTCCTGCTTTGCAGCCTGTTTTGTATATTCATCTAGGAAGCGCTGCCTGTCTCTCTGTGTGCTTTTGGGAACCGACACCCTCTGAGTTTGCTGCTCCCTTTAACCTTTAACACCTCTGTGTATAATAACTCTCAGAGTTTGACAGGTCAACTGAGGCGTCACACCTGGCTCCTTGCTGTGGGTTAGGGCTGAGCCTTTTTATCATGCTACCTACTCTGTGATGGATGAACCCAACAGCAAACTGGAGAGAGAGGGCWAAAAGCATTGTTCAGGGAAAGCGGATAAGGTCTTGTAACAAATAATACCTCGCTGAACTCTACTACCTTCTTGTTGCCCTTTGCTACAGTCTCATTTAGCTATCCATTTAAGTCTGTGTCCACAAAGCACACAGACTTTATACGTTTTATTGCAGGTAACAGTTTGTTGCTCACACGTCTGATCGCTCCTATCTTGGATGTGTTGCAACAAAGCAAGGGGGAGTTTTCTCAAGAAATKTGCTGAATATTTGACACATTTTGCATAATGACCTATTTTACAAAATGTTTTGTTATGAAYTTTATTCATTTCATAAAACAAATTTGTGGCAGAGAGAAGAAAAAATCTCATGATATCTGCSCATTTTTTCTCAAATATAGATTCAAACGGATCTTCAGTTAACAAAACAAACACAACAAAACATTGAAACTTTCTAGAACAACAAAGTGAATGTCTTCATACTAAACAATTTCATATTTTTTAACAATCCAGTCTTTATCATTCTCTTAAATATGCATATTGATGTGGCACTTTTAACATTGTCTTCTAAATTATCCCACAGTCTCACACCTTGAATTGAGCTGCATYGTTCTTTCAAACATTCTAAATTTAGGTTTCATGAACATCTCTATTCTGTTATTATAACAGCTTTCTCTCTTTGTAAAATTTATCTGAACATTTAAAGTTAATCCATTTTGGTGTGCTTTATACATAACTAACAAAATATTAWAATCAATCAAATCACAGAATTTCATTAATTTTAATTTACAAAATAATATATTAGCGGGATAAAGGTGATTTTTTTTCGAGTGATGACCCTTACAGCCCTTTTTTGCTAAATAAAAACAGGATTTGTAATAGTCTTACATGCCTTTCCCCATACCTCAACACAATAGACCAAGTGTGGAACAATTAATGTATTATATAACATATACAGAGCTTTATCAATGAACAAGTCCCTTACTTTGTAAAGCAATGCAATAGATTTTGCTAGTTTTATTCTTAAATWATTTATATGAGGTTTCSATGTCAGYYTCTCRTCMATAACATCCAAAAACCTCACCTCACTGACTCTACTAATCTCTACACCACCAACTCTGAATGGAATGTCAACAATTCTTTGTCTCTGTGTAAGTATATTTAGTTTTGTCCAAATTTAATGATAATTTGTTCACAAATTCTGCTTGCATTTTCTCTAACATTCATTCTAGATCCTTCCCCAAACAAACAAACAAAAAAAACATTGTATCATCAGCGAACAAATTGCATTTAAAGAATCTTGACACATTGACTAAGTCATTCACATATAGGATAAACTATTTTTGTCCAAGTACAGACCCCTGAGGAACTCCACTCCAAATTGACAGTGTTTTTTTTAAGAAACACAATTATTTTATACATTTTAGAGACATTTAATAACTATATAAAGATGGTTACAATTCATCAGTGACAGAGATGTATTAGGTTTTAAAGTTGAAACCTAGAATTAACAGAGGGACTAAATTTGTAAGAGAATGCGATCTGAAGAACAACAGAATCTGGCTCTGGCTGAGGTTTTACATGCGTTCAGCATCCCTGCACAACAAGTCAAACGGACTCCAGATCCAGACGTGTATGATACATTTAATGGATCATTGCAGGCTGACTCTCCAAGCCCATGTGTTGGGATTACACAGGCTTGGACTGCATACAGGAAAATCCTTGTTGCTCTCCTTTAAGGATGAGAGAAATTCTAGGACACTTGCCGACAAATGTGCAGCAGTGATTCATGATGAATAATGGGTAAGATTAAGTTACATAGAAATGTTTGCGGTCAGCATATAAGGAGGTGATTTAGTTTATTTTACATTATTTTTAATTACCACCCCAATTTAAAACTGTTTATGAGTTTTTATTATATGTTTTAATATTTAAACTGCAATCAGCAATATACTCAGATTCCTGCCCTCTTGATCAATCCTTAATTTCACTATTTCCACCTGCGTTCGGTCAGTAACCCTGGAGCTGAGAGCCTTCAGCAGGGAAAAGACTTTCCAAGCCCTCATTTGATTTATTCTGTTTTTGGCTAACCCTGCTCTGAACCTGTCCCGAGAGATTCCCAACCATTTTAGCCCTCCTTTTCCAGCATACGTGCACAACATGCCTCCTCGACCTAGTTCCATCCCCAACACGCTGCTTCTCTCTCTGCTTTCGCAACAGCCCACTGAGAGAATGAGAAACAGGCCCCCTGAAGGAGGCTCGGATTCACTCTCAGCAGTGCCCCCCCCCTCCCCCGCCCCACTCCCTTCCAATCCTGTGTGGGTCACCTACTGATCACTATGTGCGGCCCTATCGAGAGCGCAAAGGAGGGCATTTATGGTTCGCTGGGATCCAAATGAATGTTTATGGGCCTTGTCTGGCAGCCAAAGGCCAGGCAGCCCCAGCTTTTACAACATTTTCTGACATGAGCTCAGATCTGATGTGTCCATCCATGTGACTGAATCTGTGATCACCATTTCCTTTCATGCGTTTCTCACTAGAAGTCAAAATATTGCCATAAAAGTTATATTTGTGTGTGACCTTTGTGTATTTATTTTATCAAGATGCATGTTTTTTATCTAAAATTCTGCATGTCTCATACTGACTCTGCATATTCTGTTTTGCTTTTTGTGTTTTRGTTTCATGATTCATGAGGATCACACATGTTTGATGGATTTGCACATTTGTACTCTGTTGCATGTGAACATTTCTCTTGGCTCCGATAAAAATAAAAAAAAAACTAATTAGTCAGAATCTCAGAATGAAAAAGGATCWGAATATATAGGAAGGCAAACACGAAAAAAAGGTTTACAGTCCTTAGACAATACAAWTTTATGTGTATTCTTATGAAACATTTCTCAGGTCAGCAAACCGTTTTACTCAGTAAATGAAATGAAAAACAGTTTTTCATCTCATGACATYGATTTTCTCTTCTTACATCAGAAACGAGTGGGCTGGCCGTTTCGTGGTAACAGTAGTGATGCACATAAAGTCAAGCAATCCCTTTCACCAACAATTTTCCTTTTTTTGTGTGTGTTTTTATTTTTKTATTCACTTGCAAACACTGCACACATGTGAAACAGATTGATTCTTTGAAGAGARTTGAAATTGCCACGTTCAGATTTAATGTCATTTGATTGTGCTGCAAAAACAAAAGGGTTTATGGATTTATCTCAGTGCAGTTTTTAAAGACCAAGTATACGTTTCTGCAGCGTTATTATTGGGAAAAAAAGAACATATTTTTCATCTTAATTTTTTTAATCGCTACCTGCAGCAGATTTAACATGATTCCATGTGCATTTATGGTTTGATRCATATAAAGTTGGACTTTTTTTGCATTCACAGTGATTGCACTCAATCAAAATTAGGTGAAAATTTAATAGCAGTAATATGACAGCATATTTTTCTGTGACTCTATTTCCTTTTCCTGCTACCCCAAATGCAAATTAGGCCAGAAAGGGGAAAAAAAATGATTGTGCTTATTTCAGACTCTTGCCCAGAGTTAGATGAAGTAATCAATATTACTTTCAGAACCTGTAAAAGCAGATTATTTCCCACTAGACTAAGAGGTAAGCACCGACCCACCTCTACAAAGTTACAATGAGTTAATTAGCTACTCAGCTTTCATACAAACATGAGTGAGGTATTGATATCCATTTATAACCTTAGGTGTGGAAGTTAATCAGCACAATTTCCAAAATGTCAAGAGTACTCATCTAACATGCTGGAGACAATTTGTTTGCTGGTCCAAGATGGTACTTAATGGACATGAGACAGAATTACTGGCTGTTTACCATTATGGTTGAAGGCTCTATTGAGCTAATGCAGTGTTTGATTGGAAACTCCTGTGAGAACAAGCTTTTGATAAATTTCTGCTCCAAAGTTTGTTTGGACAAAATATGTTGATCAAGCTGTCAATCTTAACTCACTTAACGTTTATGACATAAAATCTTCTAGCGCTCATGTGAAAGAAGACAAAGGAAAAAGTCCCCAGTATAAAAAGGTATTTGTTAATCTCTGGCATTGACAAATCTCATCTATTATAATCTTCCACAGCTGTGCTCTCCTGTTTTGTACCAAAGCATTAGAACATCCCCAGATTCATAAGAAAAGTAGGCGCCATATTGTTCAATCTTCTATAATATATGCCTCTGGGGTTTTGTTTGATCTAACACAAATGTGCAGCATTTTGCAGACATCTTAACATTGTCTGAGTGTGAGCCAAGCTGGCAAAATCAAATATGATGTATTATCATTTTCCTTACAGACATAAAATAAATAAAAAACAAAAAAACTATTTTCAGTTGAATAATGAAAGCCTTACGATGACTGCTGTCTGCAATAAATTCAGCTCTGCCTGTCCACGTTAATTAAATTTAATAAAAAAAATCTCTTGCCCACATGCAAAAGGCCAGATTGATCCAATTTAGGTTCGTTTTTTTTCATTGTAAATTACATTACCTTGTAAACCTGCACAGTTTTCTGGAAGCTAAGAACAAACAAGAGTTTGCCCCGCATATCTCCCAAGAGCACATTTTATCTTTTGACAGCATCTTTGACAGAGTCTCATGCTTGGAATCAATCAAAGTTGTTTTCACACTGTGAGAGTRGAAACCCAGACACACAGCAGTGTGCACTTACCAAATGTTTTGCCATTATTATCATGCAGAGTAAGAGACAATGACATTCTAAAGTTCAGTTTTATTACACTGTTTTGATTAAGACATTAACAATATAATAAACTGTAAAAAATAGTAAACAGGTGACTCAACAAACCCGCTCAGAACGACTACTTGTACAGGTCTATGCATGGCTTCTGTTCAAAGTGAGAATGTAATTCTGTCATCTATATTATCATGTGCATGTGCTTACATACACACGTGCACAAAGGGTCAGGGTGTATTGTGCAGTTTATGGTTTAATTCTACCTGCAGAGTTAACACCCATTTATGTCACTTAAGTGTTTCTCTTCACAATATCCAAGGGACTTTTCCTCTGTTAGATGCTTTAAGGTCCATAGTCTTTTCCTTACACCTCCGAACTGATGAATGATCCCTCATGTTGCGTGCAATCCAAGTTCATGTCCTCCCTTTAAATGTGTTCATGCAGGTGTAACTCCCAGAAAACTTGTGGATTTCTTCAAGTGCAACTTGTGGCATGAAGCTGCAGAGACCAAAAAAGAGCAGTAACAGAATGTTAAGACAAGGGTAAAAGTTGGACTAATCATAAATGGAAAGAATGGGAAATACGTAGATCAAAAGTACGTCTTTTTTTTTACCTTTTCAAAAAGACAAGGGCATGCATTGTCCATGGAAGGTACAGAAAGGCCTTGTCGGTTCTGACTGCATCAACAGTCCTCTCAGCAACTACTTCAGGTTTGAGTGGAGGGAAAAGCTGTGGAAACCTACAAAAAAAAGTTGCACTTTTGAGATGAAGTAGTTTTTTTTTTCTCATGTCATGACTCTTCTCTGTTACAAGTGCTTACTAACCTGACTCTCATGCCCTGGAACATCTCTGTATTGGTGTGGAAAGGAAGCACAGTGGTGCAGCTGACACCGGGGCAGTCCAGCAGACCTAATGTCAGGCTCTCCATGAAAGCCAGTGATGAGGCCTTGGAGGTGCAGTAGTCTATGGCTCCTGGGATTGGAGACTGGGACAGGATGGAGTTAATGCACACTACGTGGCCATGCTGCAGCTCCAGCATCCGAGGCAGAAACGCTTTTGTTGTCTAAGACATAAAAATGTAAGGAGAGAAAATTGAAACAAGTATGAAAACAGAAAAAAAAAAATGAAAAACCAGTTGGAAGAAACAAGTCCAAAGTGTCATCACAGATGATATCTCCATGTCCATATAGTTGATAACTGTATGTCTTCATTGAACAATATTTTGATGTGAATTCAAAATAAAAATATAAAAAAATACCAAAACTCCTCTGAAGTTCAGAGGCTGGAAATACCCCCACTTAACCTGCCATAATAGCAGTTGTGATTGACAAATCTGGAGCTGGTTCTGCATAAACTTTTATGCTATAATCAAAACATAAAAATCTGAAAAATCTGCTTGGAAGACTTTTTCTCTTTTTTTTTGCAGGAAAAACAGGTTCTGCTGTAACTCATGCAATGCTTACCCAAAACTGTCCCAAGGTGTTGATATGTTGAGATTTCAGAAGAGCATCGTCATCACTGTCCATCAGACTTTTACCATGAACCACAGCTGCATTGTTAACCAGTACTGTCACATCTCCAACCTGAGGGTAAAAAGAGCAACATCAAATAATGCTATATCATTTAGACATCAAAGGTCAGGAAGACAGTGACAGAAAACACATGTAAACTGAAACAAAGGTATTTCTCTTGTATTTTACTGTCAGTAGATAGTATGTTTTTTTTGGTGAAAATAGAGTAAGTTTTATAAAAATGAACAGTGTACCTTTTCTCTCACCACCTTTGCTTGCTTGTAAACTTCCTCTCGATTGGCGACATCACACACAAAGTAATGACATTCTGTTCCAGAGAGGGTGATTTCTTCAGCTGTCTCTTTGAGACATTTTTCCGTTCTGCCCCACAGGATTATCTGGAGAACAACAAGGTTTGTTTTACATTAGACACAAATTAAAAAAAATGTTAAAAAATAAAATAAAAAGAAGAAGAATGGTAACTGAAACAAATCAAGAGGACTGTTGGTTATTAGTAAAACATCATCAACTGACATTGTTTATGCAACATTTTTTGGCAGAAAGGCAAGTTGGAAGATCTTTTAGCAGCAATGCTCTTTTCTTTAAGAGAACAGAGAGGCCATTTTCACTCCAACACATAGTTTGTGAGCAAGATTAAAGGCTCCAGGGTTGCTGTGTGAATGAATTGTCTTTTCATCCATCCAGACACTAAATGAAGGCTGGTCATTTGAGCAGGGAACATGAGGTTGGGATGGAGGTAGGGGAGGAACTAGTGATTGGGCAATTAGATCTGTCAGTCTCTGGGGTCAGGGAAAGGTAATGAAATCAGGGGGTGAGCCCTCCTCATCTCTCAAACACAAATTCTCAAAGAGATTACATGGACTGTTGGGCAGATGAGCCCCGTCAATTCTGGTCAGGGAGTCCAAAAATAGTCCCTGTGTAAAGTGTTGAGGACGCCAGTGCAGGCTTTGGCTGGTGGCCCGTGACCAAGGCTAATATTTGAGCAAAAAATCCTCCTGTAAGTGATATTGTGTATTTTAGTCAGAGACAGTGTGTGTTTGCATACACACACAAAAGACAGCATGTCTGTCTGTGAGTGAATGATTCAGCCTGCCATTCCTTTTGTTTCTCCAGTGTTTATGTGTAAACATCCATTTGGTCTGTCGGCAGGAAGATTTTACATTGACTTATTAGTCCTGGAAAACCAATTCCTGAATACAMGATGAAAGGATAAGCAAACATAAAAGGTTAGATTTAAGTGTGCAGACTTCTGGGTTTTATGAAGAATTCAAACCTGATTTATTGCAGAAACTTTTATTARCAATACTAGTTTGAAATAATGTGGGATTTGTATAACCAAACTTAATATTGGAGAAATTAAATTAGAGATTTTATAGCCATAATCTGAAATCTTAACATTTCACTTTTTGCTGTTTGTACAGTGGTTGAAAATTACCAAATAAACCTTAAAGGGATCCCCRATTAGTTGTAACATTAGATTTTATTTGATAAACATTTATTTCGACTATAAAATAAAGACTGTAAAAATACTGTGGGCTGTTTAGTTTTGTAATTTTTTTTAAATATATTTTAACACGGATGGAGCCATTTTATTTACAAGCAAAGCATTCCGGGTAAATGATGACGTGGATAGGTCCTCGGTGTGAGCGAGCTATATCCACCCTGAAGGTTAATCTTGGACAATATCTGATGATCGACTCTTTTAAATGAAACCAGAGAGCGTTGACAGAGAGGAGAAGGTAGAAATGACTCAGCCTGGAACTGAAAATATGGATGGAGGACAACAGAGCTGCTTCATGGAAGAAGAACCTCAGCTTAGCCTGTTAGCCTTCGTGCTAGCGCCAACACTATATTGCCTTATATGTATTGGCTCGGTGCTAGCGCAACAAACAAGSTAGACTGAGGTCCTCCATCCATATTTTCAGTTGCARGCTGATTCATTTTTGTGTTCCCCTCTCTGTTTTAAAAACTAAACAGCCTACAGTATTTTTACAGTCTTTATTTTACAGTTAAAATATATGTTTATCAAGTAAAGTCTAATGTTACAACTAATCATGCATCCCTTTAAGTTCTAGAAAAGACTGCAGTCTGTATGATCTTCTTTATTTCTACGTCATGTCCTGTCGATCAGAATTTGCCCCTTTCTGTGAACAACTCTAGTTTGAGTTGCATTTGATTGGGTTTTTTGTTTGCTTCATTTGCAAGCTCGTTTGTGTAATCAGTGAAGAACGACAGGTCTTGATAAATAACTCAAAGCTTTTAATAAGAATTGATCCGGACAAATAAAGCTGACAGTTCTCATTAAAACTCAGCACTTAAATGGTCTTGTCCTGTTAAAACCTTATTTAATTCATTAGGTTTATCACCCATCACAACACACAGAATCCTCAGAGCAAACATGGATTGGCCAAATTGCTATCTGGATAGAAAACAATTTCTAATTGACCTTGCTCACGCCGTGTTCTCGGTTGGTGATAATCCAGTAATTGTTCCAACAAGGCATGCCTAACAAGACTTAATGTCAACACATCGACCAAGTAAAAGCTCTCTAATCAACAAAAGCAKGTAAGCTAGAAAGAAATCTTTGACAATCTTTGATGTCACTCAATCCAGACAAGGTGTACGTCTCTGTGAGCCGACTAGCTCCAGCTGAATTACAGTGATACTTCATCTTTCAGGTTTCGATGTATGGGTGGGTAGGAACTAGGAACCCTGCTTTTCACACCCATTGTATGAGCCAGCAGAGGGGCGGCACACAGCGGGGGCAGCAGGAGTTCAGGAGGCAGTCGCCTGCCGCTGTCTAATTACTGCGGAGACAGCAAGGTCAGCTGCAGGGCAATACCCAGCTGGGAGTGGTGTGCTTCCCGCCTCAAGCACAACACAAGCACACCCACACAAACCTGCTGTCTGTAACTTGCTTTGGTTTTTCTTCCATGCAGAGATTTGTTTATGTGACACTGAAAACCACCTGAAAGACTTTTTGGCATTGTTGGGTGTTTAATGCATTAAAATGACATTTGGAGGAAATGTTTCATCTGAAATCATTTTTTTTATTTACACTGATTCCTCAGATACTTTTCTCATAGTGGCTTAGAAACACTTGTTGTTCCAGAGCACCACTCTGCCAGTTTCCCCTCAAAACACTAAAAAACAGAGTTTTCCACTCTTCATCTGATGAATCATTTTCGCACCAGTGTTGTTAGCACCACACACCCCATGTAAACCCTAAAAACGTGATTTCTGATTGCCAGTTGCTGAAGGGGCTCGATCTGGGGTGAGCGAATGTTCACAGAGGTTAGTTGTGTATCCATAATTACCATGCTATTTCCTTTTAGCATCCCTTTATCCAGACAGCAATTGTCACACACAGGTGTTGTTTTCAAAGCCTTCACACCTTGATAATAGCCAACAATGGGGGGCTGAAAAACATGTGACATCCTTTGTTGTGCAGCTGCAAAGTAATGCTTTTAAATCCACTGGTTTCTTCTTGCTCATTCACCAAGGATTTGACAAAGAAAACGRGGGTGGTGGGTAGTTAATGTTTCATTGAACTCTCAGCAATATTTTCAAACTAGTAAAAATGTCAGAAGTGGTACACACGTCACGTGTAAGCATAACGATGAGCTTTCAGCTAGTCAATGCGTTGGTGAATTGACCACATTTTTGCTGTTTTTTTTTGGAGACTACTGTCTTAGATAGTCAAAAATGGAGCTACACTGTTATTTTTATGAACACATCCCAGTAGGAACAGTGTGTTCAGCAGAACTTTTACATACCACCGAGGACGCTCCTGTTGATAACAGAYGGGATTTGGGGAGTTTGGTTAAGATAAGAAGTGGAAAAGCAATCAMATTATTTTACTATTAAATGCTGCACTTAACCACTGCAACCAGATCAACAGATTATTCAGTCAGGTCGTTGACATTAATAAAACTAAAACACATCATTAAAATGCTAACTGTTAAATGTGCTAATGTTGGATAASAATCACAACATTTCCTGCATCATGTCACAAATTATAGTCAGTGAATTAAATAATGATGAATAGTTTTTTGTTTCATTGAGAATATGACTGAAAGGTTTTCATAAACTTCATCACATTTTGTTTGAAAACAAAACCTAATCTGCCTTTTGTTATAAAATAGTCTGGTGTGTTTTGTGCTTTTTGGCAGATTATCAACAAAGTCCATTAAAAATGTCAAGAATTATATTAAGCTATTAGCAGACTGTGTAGTACTGTTTCAATGAAGCGTTGTGGACAAGCCACCCCAGTCTACTTTTCAAACATTTATACTCTCTCCCACTCAAACAGTCAATGTCTCCATCACAACCTAAATCTTTGGATATGTCACTAATKTCTGAATCACCCCCCAGATTGTGACGTGATTACGTCAGCTCACTGCTACACCTAATCATATCAGTCAGCCATCAGCACTSTCCAGGCCTGCCCTCTGGTTGCTCCAAGCTGCTGTGTAATACTTGGATCAAAATTGAGGGCAGTGTCTTCCGTCTCACTGGACCAGCTYGACAGCTTAGAGGTTATGATCCCTGGTTTCATTGAACAGTGAAACAATAATGCACTTGGGGCAGGGTAGACAGGAGTGACCAGGCTTGAAGAGGAGAAGGATGTGAGTAGAGCAAAATCACAACACTACACTGCAAAAAATGTCCACCTAACCAAGTTTTAAAACCTTATATC